AAAGTGTTCTATTTGCAACAAGGGGTATTATCCAAAAACATTTGGTGATTATAAATGTCAAAAATGTGATTCAACATGTTTAACATGTGATAATCAAAGTGGCATTTGTTCTCAATGTGCCCCCGGATATACTCCGTTCAAAGAAAAATCAATTCAATGTCAGTTGTGTCAAGACTTTGATGTGAATTGTGGGAAGTGTAACACAACTGCATCAGAGTGTCTGCTGTGTTCAACAAATAAATATCCAGATGATGTAAATAAAAAATGTGTTGAATGTGATCACAGTTGTGGTGGTAATTGTAATGGAACCACTGGAATGTGTTTGTCTTGTGAAACCAATTATGTTTTCACTCAACCCATATCAAGAAAATGTGAAAGTTGCCAAACGTTTGATATAAATTGTGAGTATTGTGAGCCGGATTTTACAAGAAAGTGTTTGGTGTGTTTAGATGGATTTTATTTGGACGCAACAAATCACACCTGTGAACCATGTAATTCAATACCAAATTGTTCAGAGTGTGACACCAATGGAATTTGTATAACTTGTCAATTGAATAATGTGTTTGTTGATACAAAACCACCTTCGTGTATTGCATGTAATCAGTATTATCCAAAATGTATAAGTTGTTCTCAAGATGTTTCTAGTAAATGTACAGAGTGTGAATATGGGTTCTATCCGAATTCGACTGGATATTGTGTTGAATGTGATTTATTTTGTAACAAAAAATGCAATTCTTCAACTGGATATTGCGATAGTTGTTTAACTAACAACGTCTTTACAGAACCGAAATCGTTTATTTGTGAAACTTGCAATCAATTTGATGTAAATTGTGCCATTTGTTCATCAACTTTTGAGAGGAAGTGTGAGATGTGTAACACTGGCATGTTCAAAATACAATACGGCAATGAAGTAATATGTAAAAGTTGTGATTTAACATGCAACCACCAATGTAACTCAGATGACGGTCATTGTCTGGAATGTCTTGAAAATTATATCTTTTCTGAAGCAAATTTATTACAATGTGAAAGTTGTAATGACTTTGATAATAATTGTGAACGCTGTGCTTCAGACTATTCCAGAAAGTGTGTAGAATGTAAAAATGGATATTATCTTGTTGATGGAAAGTGTGTACAATGCGACTCGACATGTGGAGGAAGTTGTGATATGATGAATGGGTATTGTACTTCTTGTCGATCAAATATGGTTTTTTCAACAACAAATAAAAGTGTTTGTATTCTGTGTGACGCTTTTGATGCCAACTGTTTAAAGTGTTCTGAAAGTGGAGAAAGAAAGTGTATAACTTGCACGAACAAGAAGTATCCAGATAAAAGTGGACTTTGTGTTAATTGCCCCACGTCTTGTACAACAAGTTGTGATGGGTCAACTGGTGTTTGCACTATTTGTGTAAATAATTATGTGCAAGAAACAATGAATGAATCCATGTGTGTGAAGTGCTCTGATTTTGACAAAAACTGTTTGATGTGTGCGAGTAACACTTCAAGAAATTGTGTACAGTGTTTGACAAATTATTACCCAGTTCAACAACCAAATGGTGAGAAAACGTGTGAAAGTTGCGATTTGACATGTGGAGGAAAATGTAATACGGAGACGGGGTATTGTATTGGATGTGAATATAATTACGTTTTGATATCACCAACAAATTTGAAGTGCCAAACATGCAAAGAATTCGATATAAACTGTAAATATTGTGCTTCAGATTTCACTCGAAAATGTATTGAGTGTGAGCCAAACTATTACCCAGCCAGTAATGGCACATGTATATTATGTTCAATGTCTTGCAACGAAAAATGCAACTCTATAAGTGGGCTTTGTGAAAGGTGCATTGAAAATTACGTTGTTAATAATCCAAAATCAAATGAATGTCAATCGTGCACAAGTTTTGATTCCAAGTGTGATAAATGTGCATCTGATTATACAAGAAAGTGTATTGTGTGTCAAAGTGGTTACTTTACAAACGAAGATGCGGACTTCAAGTGCCAAAAATGTGACCCAACATGT